GCCCTCCTCCTGCCACCTTGCTGCCAGCCATCCCTTTGTGTCCTGGGCTTTGGCCACAGCCCCAGGTCCCTTCTGAGCAGGCGAAAACGTGTCCCAGAGCAGTTATAATTAGGGGCAGGGACCACAAAGTCCTGACCTACTTCATGTTTTGGCTTCCACCTGTCCTGTCCCACTGCGCCTTCTCCACATGCAGGTCCTGACTGCTGCTGAGCTGTTCACTGGGGGCCTGGTACCCGCTCAGCCCACCTCCCCTGCGGTGGATTGACAACTGGTGGTTAACTTGTTACACCCAGCTGAACTGAATCAGCATGGTGCTGGGTGTGGAGGGCCCACCTGAGGATTATTGCCAACAACATAAAAAAGAAAACTGGAGAGGAAGAGATGGTGCTGTTGGTTCTCCTGGAGAATCTTATCACGCTGGCTTCCCTGATATGAACTCCACTGTTCTCACCATCAGAGGAGCTCATGTCGCTGAGAATGGCTGTGGTACTTTTGCGGGGAACTCCGGTCCTTTCCTTGAGCATTGCTTCCTGGCTCCAGTGCAGAGCCCTCAGCCTGCTAGCACAGGTCCTTCATCCTGCTGGTGCAGACTTTCTAGCTTCCACCAACAACCTTTGGGCCTTCCCAGCACAGATCTATGAAACAGATTTGCACTAGACATTGTTGTGGGCTCTAGGCCTTCAGCTGGACTCATGCAGGACACTACTGTGGGCTCCAGCCCCTCAGCTAGATTCTTTGGGTCTTTAGTGTGTGGAAAGATCTCCTGCACTCTTTTGTATTTGACTCTCTGGGTGACTACTATAAAATAACCCTATAAATTATGTGTCCTGGGGGCTGGGAATTTAGCTCAGTGGCAAAAGCGCCTGCCTGGCATGCGCAAGGTCGTGAGTTCGGTTCCCGGTACCGGAGAAAAACAACAACAACAACAACAAAAATTATGTGTCCTGTATTAAATTGTTTCCCTTGCAAAACCCTGTCTACAACCTCCCCCCAGAGAGCGGACAGAGGATTGTGGGTGCTGCAGGTATCGGAAGTCAGACACCTGTTTCAGGTGGCAGACTGATTCCAGAGATCAACATCCTGGGAGACGCAGGATCTCTGGGGACGTGGGCAGAGGTGACTTGGGAGGACAGTGCACCAGGCCTGTGCTCAGACCCTTTGTATCCATCTGTCCCCTCCCTGCGTGACTGTGTGTGTGTGTGTGTGTGTGTGTGTAATCTACGAGGTGCTCCGCTGTTCACAGCATCAACCCCTTTGTCCCCTCAGTCTGCATCCTCTGCAGTATAGCGGCTGTCTCTGCAGCCAGAGCCTTGTATGGTCACTGGGAGAGCAGACGAGGCTAAATGTGAGACAGAGCACAACAGCGGTGGGAAGTGGAGTTATTATTCATGATCTCAGTGCATTTCCCAATCTTAAGAAGCAGGGCGGGTGTTACCATCTCCACTGCTTCACACACAAGCGGCCTGGCTCAAGGTGACCTGGACACATGGCCACCAGGGGAGGTCTGATACATGGTACAGTCCCCACCTGCCAGACGCCAGGCAGGGTGACGTCACCCTCCCCTCCCCCGCTCTGCAGGCAGACTAGAAATGGCTGGATTGGGGTTGGTTCTGGAAGCTGCCAGGGTTGGGAGTGGGGGAGAGGAGCAAGTGGCCTCACAGGAGATCCCAGAATGCTTAGGCTCATCCTAGTTACTGCGTGCTGTGTGGCTCTGGAGTCTCGCCTGCACCCAGGTTCTCCTGCAGACACCCTTGATTTCCCTAACAGGTCTGTGCATACCCTGTCACCCCCACCCTAAGGAGCCAGGGCCACACTGGATCAGTGTTGTCCAGGTTCCGGCAGCTGGCGTGTGGGCGTGGAGGACTCAAGTCACAATCTTGGGGGCCTCTGGGAGACAGCAGCAGAGCACAGTGGGTCTTCCCTCCGCCTGGCACATGGCACTATGCCGCAGGCTAGGGAGCCCAGGAGACACAGCGCCATGGGGTGGGGACTGGGGCTCTGCCGTCTCCATGCTCCACGCTAACTCGTCCTGGAACCACATGGGCACACAGGCCCCACGCTCCAGGTGGGCACTGCCAACCTGGCCAGGCCTGATTGGCTGGCTGATCTCCTGCAGAAGCCGGCTATCAGGCAGGCCAGCTGTCTCTTTAAAGTGACTGCATTTCTCTCCTCACACTCTTCTCAATCACCATCCTCCTGTAACAGGGCAGTCTGGGTTTTGTTTTCTCAAGAATTGGGGTTCTCCTGTCACCTCCACCCCTCACACCTGTCTTCATCGTGTACTTTCCATCCTTTCCTCAGAGTCGTTCTAATTTATTCTCTTCTGGGGGCGGGTACCGGAAATTGAATTCACAACCTCACACTTGCAAGGCAGGCACTGCATCACTGAGCTAAATCCCCGGCCCTTATTTTAATTTATAGGTCAGACCCAAGGCTTCATTTGTTTTCAAAAATGGCTGCTGAAGCCAGTTGTGGTGGTGCACACCTGTAATCCCAGCACTGGATAGGATGAGGCAAGAGGACCGCAGCAAGTTCTAGGCCAATCTGGACTACATAGTAAGACCCTATCTCAAAAAAAAAAAAAAAAAGCAGAACAATGGCTACTGATCTTATTGGCCTCTCAGGGTCGTTGTTTTTTTGGTTTTGGAGGGTTTTTTTTTTTTTTTTTGGTTAGTTTTTTGAGACAGGGTCTTGCTATGTAGTTCAGACAGCCTTGAATTTACTATGTAGTCCAGGTTGGCCTCAGCCTCCTGAGTGCTGGGATTACACCACCACATCTGGCTTTTGTTTTGCTTTTGTTTTTAGCTGCAGCTACAGCTGCAGCCACAGCCCTTTATAAAAAATCTGAAACACTGTCTCTGTAGATCCCTAAATTGCCTAGGATGGGCTTGAATTTGTGATCCTGCTGCCTCATTCTCTCAGAATGCAGGGTTACAGGTGTCTCAGTGTATCAAGAATGCTTAAGGCCAGGCATGGTGGTGCATGCCTGTAATCCTGCACTTGGGAGGTGAGCCAAGAGGATAACCCGTGAGTTTGAGACCAGCCTGAGCTACATAGTGAAACCCTATCTCAAAAAACAACTACAACAACAAGAAAGTGCTTAAGACCCCAACATTTCCCCTAAGACTAAAAAAGCCATGGTAGGCAGGGGTCAGGTTCCTCCATGAGAGGCCAAGGCAGGTAGCCCCTCACCCCACTGTGCAGCACGCACTTGTGGTCAGGAGTCATCGTGCATCTGACAGGAACCCACTAGGTGAGACTTGGAGTCATTTTTTCAACACTAGTTTAAGTACACAAAGCAAAAAATTAAGCCTTTTCTCCTTCAAATCACTGAGGGGTTGACAGCAACCTACTTCTGAGAGCCCAGGCAACAAATGCCACATAGCCAGGGCCGGGCAGACGAAGGCTGTGGCAGGCCAAGTGTCACTTGCATGCAAGCAGATGCCCGGCAGCCAACATTCCAAGTCTTTCCGAGGCCAAAACTTGAGCAAAACACAAACCATAACCTCAGAAACGTGCCAGTCCTGTAGCTAAGAGCACGACAGAAGAAAAGTGATTTCACAGACGTGCTGGGGTGCAGGAGGAGGACATGGCGCAGATGGGACTGTGGTCAGCAGAGGGACAGGAACACTTGGGGAGATGACGGCATGTGCCAGGCAGAGGGACCACACCCCTCAGCTGGCTTTCAGATTATTTTTGTGGCCTGTTGTGGCATGGGAACAGGTGACCTGGTATCAGTCCCAAAGAACTGGGCAGGAGGCAGTGAAAGGAACCCGGGAAGAATTTGGCCCTGCTGGTGGCTGGTGCTGAGGAGCTCAGGGTTTGGGGACCAAGAGAGGCAAGGAGGCTGTGGGTGGCCAGAGGAGGTGCTCAGCCTGAGCCTCCATTGGCCGCATGCTGTTCACTGGCAAAGGGTGGAGGAAGAGCCCCAGACTGTAGATTTCGAACGTGACAGGAGAGGTGGCCCTGTTCCCACCTCAGACGCGTGCTCTGGCCTCACACACGAGCGCCTGGACTTTGGCCAGACACAATGGTGCATTTAACTACTCCCCACGGCTTGACCTCATCAAAGGGACTGAAAATGAGCTAACGGCACTCACTGGGGCCTAAGCCTGCAATTAAACGCATGTGAGAAAAGAAGTCTCAGGCCAGATGCGGTGGCACACACTTAGAATCCCAGCACTCAAGAGGCTGAGACAGGAGGAGCACAGAGAGCTGGAGGCCAGTCTGGGCTACACAGGGAGTTCAAGGCCGATCTGAATTACATTGTAAGACCCTGAGAACAACACAAAAGTCCTCACAGAGCTGCCAGCTTGAGTGCGATCTGTTGGTCAGGGACCAGGGGACAAGCTGCCAGCTGGGCAGAGGGGACACCTCCTCCTGGGGGGTGGGCACCGGGGGCCCCAGGGCTGCAGCCCTGCCTTCTTTGCAGGTTGTTTCTGGGTTCTCTCAAAGTCCTGTGCCATCCCACCCCTCGGGCAGAGCTGGCAAGGAAGGCCCAGCCTCCATGGGGACACATAGGCCTCTTGTTCCGTGGGAAGCCCAGCAGGCCAGGTTCCAGGCAGGGGGAACCCTCGGGCCTCAGCCTCTTCCTGCCCAGTGAGGTGGAGCCCAGCCAGGAGCAGGGTGGAGCTGGCCAGCTTGGCAAAGCTCATTCCAGGGATCAGGGGCAGAGTTGGGGGCGGTGGGTGAAGACAAAGGAAAAATGGGGAGCCGTCTCCACCATCAGCCTATGAGAGAGGAAACGCTGAAGCAAAGAAAAACATGGCTTTCCTCTGTCTGGGCCACAGTCTGGGTGTCCTGGCTCCAGGCCTGTCTCTCCCCTGTAGCCCCAGCAGGGGGCACTGTAGCCCATATGAGGCTGAGCAGTATCTGCCCACCCCTAGATCCAGGCCCACTCTGGCCAAGTCCATGTTGGGTGAGGTTCAAGCTGGATCCATCTGCCTGTGTTCTACCCTCTTCTCCAAGGCACGAAGCCCTGGCCAGAGGATATGGGGAGCCATGGAGAAAAAAAAGGTTTATTTAATCAGAGAGCCTCAGAAGGCACCTGGCTTGTGTCGAGTATAAAAAAGGCAATAAAATGGCAACTGTACAGGGTGCATGACGGGTAGGGACAGCAGGGCAAGGGCAGAAAGGGAGAAAGGAGAGGAAATCTGAGATCAGACCATACAAAGGTCAGTCCTGGCCCCCAGCCACGCGTGATGCAGGCAGATAAACGGAGAGACACAAAACACACGTATACCCCTGCAGGGCCCACGCCTCTCCCATCAGAGCCATCAGTCAGAGCCCACGCCCCCTCGGACTCTCAGGGCTCATCCTTGATCTCCACCGGCTTGGACCCCTCCCCAGGCCTGGCCAGCCGAGCCCTGCACAGAAGAAAGCAGGAGTTGGCAGAAGAGGAGACCTGTAGACACGCCGTGCGTCCCCGGCAGAAGATGAGGGGCAGGAGGTGGGCGGGCTGTGTGGTTCTCAGCCCACCAGTGTCACACAATGGCCCGGAACAGGAAGGAGAACACGGCCCCCAGCGCCAAGCCCAGGCACAGGAAGAAGGCCATGATGGCACCTGCCGTCTCCGCTTCAGCTGGTTTTACTTTCCTAGAGGAGGGAGGGCGACACTTTCTGAGGCCTGGCCGGAACCTGCCCCAGACATCTGAGCACCCGATCCTGCAGACCACCCGCCTGTCCCAAGACTGGCCTGCCTCTCCCTTGGGGTACAGGTTGTCCCACAGCAAGCCTGAGCCCACCAAGGGATGCCCCTGGCCTGGGGCAGCTCCTTTCGCCCTCTCCAGCTCTGCCAAGGTCCCCAGGCGCTCCAGGCCCTGCCAGCACACTTACTTGGGCCCGAAGCACATGCAGAGGCTGGCGAGGTAGCCGTTGGAGAAGGCGAAGGCGGCCATGAAGAGGATGTACCACGCATCATGCTCGAAGAACACACTCATGTAGCGGCGCGGCTGGACATTGCACAGCAGCAGGAGTGGCACAAACACCAGCCGGGCCACCACCAGGCTCGGCAGCCAGCGGCTGTCCTTCCCTGGCTGTAGGCACAGGCACAGCCCCATTAGGGCCCTCTTGCTACACAGGAATTATATCTGAACTTTTAAGATAGTCTGCTGGTAGACGCTGACGGTGCATGCTTGTCATCCCAGTGCATGCTTGTCATCCCAGGTACTCAGGAGGCAGAGGAAGGAGGACCACAAGGCCTTCCTGTGCAACTTAGCAAACTCTGTCTCAGAATAAGTAAGAGTTCACTCTGGGAGGCTGAGGCAGGAGGATGGGAAAGTTTGAGCCCATCTCAGGCAATTTAGCGAGACCCTGTCTTAATATAAAAAAAATAATAATAATAGGTAAAAGGGCTGGGGATGCAGCTCAGTGGTAAAGCATTTGCCTAACATCATGTACAAGGCCCTAGGTTCACTTCCTAGTGCTGCTGCCCCCCCAAAAAAAAACTCCCCTGCTACTCTTTCTTGGGCTTCCTTTCCGGGCCTCACGTTGGACCCCTCCTCCCACAGAGGCCTGGTCCACCCCCGACTCACCCACATGAAGACAGCTGTGAGGCTCCGGCCCAACCAGTCGAAGATATTGAAGACCAAGAAACAGGACACAGGGATGAAGTAGTTCGCTGAGGAGGAGGGAGAAGCAGCTTGGCACCCAGACCTCCCAGGCTCAGCATCCCCAAGTGCACAATGGAGAGGGCACTTCAGACCCTGGGAAGGGCAGATGGGCCCAGCCAGGTGCAGCTGGGTCAAAGAGAACCCTGGCCCCTCTCCGCTCCAGGCCCAGCCTGTGTGGGGCTCTCTGTCCCATCCTGCAAACCCAGGCATCCTCACCCCAGGGGCTGTCGCCTGCAATGCTGGACTGGACATCTGCGGTGACAGCGGGGAACAGCCCGATGGTGATGGTGAAGATGAAGCAGACAGAGAGGGCCAGGACTGAGATCTGGAGGGAGGAGAAGTCTCACGCACAGCTCTGCGTCGCCACAGTAGCTGTCATTAAGGAGCCAAGAAAACATGCACACACACACACATACACACACACACACACACACACACACACACACACACCCCAGGGAGCACCCAGGCTCAGCTCAGAAGGGAGCACGTAGAAGACACAGGGTGACCACAGGGAAGAGGCAGGTGGGGACAGAGCGAACGCCCGGCCACGTACGTTCTTGAGGATTTCCTTGATGGAGTGGCTTTTGCCGGTGGGCTGGGAGCTGGGTGCCGAGACCACAGGTTCCTCCTTGCCCGCTCGCGGCTCCTCTCCTGGTGGGTGAGAGGCTGTGGCAGGATCTGCATTGTGGGCAGGACAGAGCAACAGGGTCTCCTTTAACCCGGCTACAACCCTGTCTCTCCCAGAACCTCCAACCCCTTGGGGCTGCAGGAGGCACCAGGAGCCTCAGGACGTGTTACTGAAATCGATTCCCAGGGCCATTGGTCCAAGGGCTCATCTACAGTCCCCCTCATCTGTCCTCCCAGCCATTAGTTCCTGCTGCCCTTGCTCCCAGCCCTGTTTCCTCTGTCCTTCCCTGGCTCATGGCTGCAGCTCAGACGGTGTACCCATCTGTGTCCCCTCTGCTCCTGCTGCCCCCACCCAGCATGCCACCCAACTCAGCCTCTCAAAACTCAGGACCTTTACTGATGAGGTCCAGCTTGGTCTCTTGCTCCCCTGGGCCCTCGAGCTTGAGTTGCTGGTAGTAGCGGTAGAACTCCTACCAAGCAAAGGAGACAGGAAGGCATTGTTGGAGGTATTGCTAGCATTCCAGCCCCGCCCAGGACAGCTGGCCCCTCAGACCCATCCCTAAATCCCAGCTTCCTCCACTCACCAGCCGAGGCAGGGCCAGGTAGCAGAGGATGGCCAACACGATCACCACACAGGCCGTGATGAAGTAGCCAAAGGCACTTTCTGAGAGCTCCGAGCCAGCTGGGGGCATAGTGTGAGGGATCAGAGACCACCCATCCCCTTCCTTCCACATCCCATTCAGGGTGACAGGCAGGGGACAGGACTCACTAGCGATGGCGCAGATCATAGCTACCGAGGCAAAGAAGCCCGCCAGGCCCTGGCCGCTCATGATGGGGGCTGTGTAGCTGGCAGGCAGGAGGCCGGCAAGGCCGAAGAGACTCCCTTGCAAAATGGCGCCGAATGCTGGGGACAGACAGGGTGGGTGTTGGATGGGGTCCCCGGGAGTCCCGCTGGCCCAGGTCCAGGATGCTTGGGCCTCTGTCGTCCCTGCCCCCAGAGTCCTCCCAGCCCAACCCAACCTACAATTGATGAGCATGATCTTGATCATGGTGAAGACAAAGAAGGGCAGAGGATCCATCTGCACCTTCACAAGGATGGCGGTGACCAGGAACACCAGCAGGATGGCCACCAGGCTGCCCAGGATCCGCACGGACTGGGGGATCCTGTGGAGGGAGAGGTGCAGGGGGCAGTGAGGGCTGGCAGGCCGGCCCGGGGGGCTCAGGAGGTGGAGTGGCCGTGCTCACCTCTGGTGCAGGAAGGAGTTGAGGCAGGTGAAGAGCAGCAGAGGCAGCATGGCACACAGGGTCATGACATTGTTGAAGATGGCACTGAGGGAGTTCCGCTCGGGCACGGATGCCTCGGGGGCGGCCGAGGCTTTGATGTCTTTGCTCAGCTCGGCAGCGACAGAGGACACATTCTGGGACACCTCCACACGTGTTGTGAAATACTGTCGGGGTGCAGGGAGGAGTGCTGGCACCTCGGGCTTCTCCTGGCACCCAAGGCGCTCACCATCCCTCCCAGCCGGTCCCCAGCCTCACCCTAGTGGCTGTCATGAAGAAATTCCAGGGGAGCAGCGTCCCCAGGCCCAGCATAAAGAAGATAAGCCAAACGGCTTTGTATCTGGGACAGGAGGAAAAAGAGGCCAAGTCACCCACCATCCACCTTCCCTCCCTGCCCTTGGTTCCTCAGCTGGCCCAGGGCCCAGGGCAGCCGTGCCCACATCCTCCCATGGGATGTGTGTGTGTGTGTGCAGGTCCTGGCACAGGGCACAGGATGAGCTGGAGGGAAAAGGGCCAGGGACCCAGGACCTCAGTTCTTAGCCCCGGGGGACACTGCAGGCTGGGAACCAGGGTGACCTTCATTCAGGAGATCCTCTGCAACACTGAGGGCCGGGGGTGGGGTGGTGAGTGACAGCAGTCCCCGGGCAGGCGGGAGTGATATGTCCGGGAGGAACTTCGTGTGGACTCCCTGAGGTGGCTCCGAGGTTGAGAAACCCCCAGCAGCTCTGGGTCCAGTGGGGTGGGGAGGGGAGGTGACTCAGGGCATCTGGGAAGTGAGGACTTGCTCCTGGTCTAGACAGGACCCTCTGTGTAGGTCACAGTGCCTAGGACAGGCTGGGAGGTCTGGGGCCACAGTGCCCATCTGGGCACAGTGTAAATGTGGGCCTCCCGGCTCCGGCCAGGCCCTGCTCCCCAGGAAGCCTTGCTTGTGAGCTCAGAGACTTGGTCTCCCCCACCACAGTCTTCACATGTGGCTGCCACAGCCTCCCCAAGGCCAGTGAGGAGCCAGGTCTGGCTAGGGTGTGGGCGCCCGGACCATCAGGCCTCAGGAGGGAAGGGGCTGGGCTAGTGCCCCAAGGGCAGACCCCAAAGCCCTCACAGGCTCTCCTGGGGTAAAGACACCAAGGGCCCGAATGCAGGCACAACTCCCAGGCAAGGTGACCCAGCACACAGGGTCAGTAGCAGTTGGGAAACTACAGCAGTCCAACTAGGTGGCAGACAGGGGACCAGGCGGGGCACCAGGCAGTATGGGTACAGAGGGGGCAGGGGGCGCCTGAGTCTGCATCGCTCAAATACCCTCCCTTCCAAATAGAACCTGTGAAGTGGATTTTTAAAATTTTTTTATTTTTTAGTACTTGGGCTTGAACACAGGGCCTTTACATTAAGCTATATCCCAAGCCCTTTTTTATTCTAAGACAGAGTCTTGTTAAGGCACTGAATTCTCCAAGCGGGGCTTGAATCTGCAATCCTGCCTCACCCTCCCAGAGTGCTAGGATCACAGGCAGTGTCCCTCAGGCCTGACTTATGTCGATATTTTTCCTTCCATTTTGCAGAAAAGGAAAAGGCTCCAGACAGATCAAACTAAAGGCTCCGGACCCTCTGCCAGGGCTGCCTGGCGTAGCTGCCAAGCACACATGGGGGCCGGGGGCTCACCCCAGGCACCTGGCAGTGGTGGGTCACAGTTAGATGCACCCTAGTGCCATAGCCTCTGGCGACAGAGGGACCTAGCATGGGTAGGGGATTTGGGAGGGTTTTGGGCCTGAAGGAGCAGAAAGGACAGGGCCTGACATGGCTTCACAAACTTTCTGGATTCCTGTTGGAAAACTTGAGTCAGCTCGGCCTCTCCCTCCAAAACACACATTCCCTGTCCTAACCACAGGTCTGGCGGGAGGGCTTCTTAGGCTCCAGGACCGGGAAAGGAGGAAGGTCCAGTCAAGGGCCAAGGTGACCTCAGGTCACAAGGGGTGGAGGCGTCGTCCAGCAGCCCCTAGAGACTGGGCAAGTCCCGCCAGATGTGCTCTGAAATGAGGGGTGCTGCCAAGTGTCTCCCCGAAGCGGAGATGGGAGGAGTCTATCTGGAGAGCAACGCTGGAAACACTGACAGGCAGATGGGGACTGCTGCCACCCACCCTGTCCTCCCTGGGGACAGCAGACAGAACCTCGCAGAGGTATACGTGCTCCCCAACCTGACACAGCCCTAACTCAGAGCTACCCGGCCAGAAGGCCCGTCGGCAGTGGCTGCCCTGAGTCCCAACGTCCTGGAGATCACCCAGAGCCCTGGAGATCCGGGCCCTGGGGCCCCTCCCCATCCCACCCCAGTCCCAGTACCTGTCCTGCGGCTTGTGATTGGTCGTCATGGTGGCAGTGTTCTGGGCTGTGCCTGGAGGACAGCAGCTCCCTCCCTGCAGTGCTGGCTGCGGACAGAGGCACAATAAGGCCCTGCTTCTCGCAGCCCTGGAAGATGGGGGGGGGGGCGGCAGGAGGAGGAGCCCAAGACCCCTGGGCCTTGCCCTTGAGGATCACCCCATGGGACCCCCACCTGTCCCCCACCAGCCTGCCCGTCCTGCGGCCCCTGCCCGCTCAGCCTCCACCTGGCTCTCAGCCTGGCCGATGCCACGCTATTTTTACCCAGCAGCCAAGCAGTTTAGAAGCTGGAAACAGAAGGGTGGAGAGCGGGAGAGGAGGAGGAGGAAGCAATTGGAGGGAGGGAGACTGTCAGGGAAGACGAGAAAGAGACAAAGGGTCAGGGAAGGCAGCGATGACAGGGAAGGAGGGACAGACAGACAGAAAGCAGCAAGGACAGAGAGTGGGGAAGGCGGGAGAGGAGGCACAAAGCAGGACAGCACCAACCTCCCCACCTGCCCGAGCTCTGCACCTCCTCGGCCGGCTTGGGGAAGCCTGGCGCGTCTTGGAGATGCGCGGACTCCAGCCTCACTACCTGGTCCCTGTGATCCTTTATTTCCCACCACCAGCCCCGGGGCTTCCCAGTTCCTGACCAGTTTTCCAGGAAAACATTTCACAATGGGTGTGGAGATACAGCCCTTCCCACAGCTCAGCCAGGCCCCTCCTCTGACCCCCAGTTCTGGCACTGGGTCATCCCCTCCCCCTCAGTTCCTCTCTGACTTAATCCCAGCCCACTTATCCTCTTCCCCTTTCTGAGTGGCCTTGAAGGGAGACTGGAGGAGCACAGCGCAGGCCTGATCCATAGAGGCCCAGAACCTCCAGCGCCTGCCTCAGTGTCTCTCTCTACTCTGCACTGGCAGAGGGGAGGCACCCCAGCACCGCCAGGTTGAACAGCTTCCCACTGGCAGCCTCCCCCTGCTCCCCACCATCCGCATGCAGCACCCCACACTCACCGGCCACCTGGACGTGGAGGCAGAAGGGTGGGAGTGGAGGGGTCCGCAGCAGTCCCTGGGGGCTTGTCCTGGCACAGGGTCAGCAGGGCCTTGTCCCTGGGGTCCTGGGTGTCCAGAATGAGAAAGATGGCACGAGGCACAAGAGAGGACCCATCGGGCCTCACATCACCCCATCCTGAGAGGCCTCACGTGAAGCCTGGGAGCACAGTGCTGGAGAGATAAAGGGACACCCAGGGTCTGGGTGATAAGGCAGCAGGGGGTCTGGGCTGGGGCTCAGTGGTCAGCACTCAGGGCCGGGGCACACACACGTGTATACACACATGCGCACGCACACACGCGTGCCCCAGGCCCTCAACAGGCTTCTGCATCCCAGCCAATCACCACTCCTCTGAAGCCCTCCATGGGCAAATTCCAGACTTCCCACCCCTGGTACCCCGGGCCTCCTCAGCTCACAGTGCGCTGCAGGCACGGGTAGGATGACGGCAGAGGGTACCTTCCAATCCTGCCACCGTGGAATGATTGCTAAGGACCTCGCCTGCCAGCCAGGGAGACCTCGATGCTGGAGGCCGAGCCCCTCTCTCCTAGCACCCGGGTTCTGTGTGCAGCTCTCTCCCTGCCTCCCAGGAGCCCTGGCCCTTCTTCCTCTCTCCATGTCCCCGTCCCATCCCGGGCACTGGGCATCTCCAGGGGGTCCTCTGCTGGGTCCACAGGCCGGCATCGCTGGCACCCAGGTGTCCTGCCCCTGCCCATTTTTGCCCAGCAGTGACCGGGGATCCGGACCAGCTGGAGCTTCTGGTGTCCTCTGGCCTGCCCTGGCCTGTCTCAGCTGCCTGTCTCCACAAGCCAAGGCAGCCACCAAATCCAGTCCTCCCCTGCCCCAGGCTCCAGGACACCTCTCCTGGACCCCAATGTCTACACAAACCTCTGCACCACATCAGGTCTCCCCTGCCGGTGACCCTGCACCGGCCAGTCACTACCTGCAGAGCCCCTCTTTCCTCCTGCACCCGGGGCTAGTTCCAGGCATTCCCACAGAACACACCAGGCCAGCGAAGGCGCAGAGGTTGAGTCACTTGCCTAAGGTCAGAGTTACTGAGCAGGGATATGGATTCGGACTAGGGATTCAGGGTAGTTCTGGGGAGAGGGGCAGTGGCAAAAAGTCTGCTTGCCAGCTAGCCTCGTGGACTGGGCTGCCCCGCAGGACTGTGCACCAATTAAAGACAAAAAGTAAGGTCAGGCCTGGTGATGTACGCCTGGAATCCCAGCTACTCTGGAGGCTGAAGCAAGAAGGTAGAAAGTTTGGGCCCTGCCTGGATAAGCCAGAGAGACCTTGTCTCCAAATAAAAAATAAAAACAGTGCTGGGGATGTAGCTCAGTGTGAAGGCCTTGGGTTCAGTACTGCGAAGAATAATAATAACTAATACTAACGAAAAATAAATAAAAAGGGGTGGAGATGTAGTTCAGTCTGAAAACACTGGGTTCAATCCCCGCTACTACAAATAAGGACAGTATTAATAATAATAAAATAATAAATAAGTTAAAAGGGCTCAGGCTTTAGCTCAGTGGTTGAGCGTCCCTGGGCTCCATCCCCAGTACTACAAAAGCAAACAAATGAGACAGGAAGGTGGGTGGGGTTCCAGAGTGTCAGCAGCGTGGACCGGCCCGGAGCGCTCACGTGGCAGAGACCAGCGGGGACCTGGGGTCCGAGGGTGGCCGCGTCGGGGTGCCGGGTGGTACCCATGCTGCTGCCCGGGAAGGAGCCGCGGGTGCTGGCGCGCGATGAGCAGCCCGGGCCGAATGTGGCTGGCGCCCCGACCGACCGCCGGCGCCCACCCCGCGCTCCCGAACCCGCACCCTCGGCAGCCCTCTGGGCTCGGCG